TTTTCTGTGACAGATGTGGTAGCTGCAAGGAGAAAAGGGAACCATCTGAAAGTCTCTGTGCGCTGAAGAATGACTTCTACGAATTCGAAGATATTTTTTGCTCCAAAATACATCTCTAGATTTTTGTACTAGAGTTAGAATAGTTGATGACTTTTATGGAGAATGCTCGGATAGTTCATATGATTGTTCTGGATTAGTTTAGGTTCCTAGCAGTTGAGATTTTACTTTTAAATCATTGGATGTGCTACGCATTTCTTTTGAAATGAGTATATGATGGCACATTTTAGGTGTAAATGTGTGTGCATATGCCTTCAACTATGAATTGAACAACAAAGTGTGGTAGAATTTGTTGATTGGAATGTTGTACACATGTTTTAATTGAATAAACTGTTTTTCTTTTAAAAAAGTTTGATGGAAAATGTCTTGTTTGAATTTCTCTTCTTCTCCTTTGTGTTATTGATCAATGAATAACTTTACGTTGAAGATGACACATGTTTATGATATTCGTCCACACTTTTCAGGTGAAGGCTGTCCCAAGCTTGCAGATAATTACTTCAAAAATGCGAATAATATAGATAGTGCCTCATGTTTTCCTGGAAGTGATGAACTTGACTGCTCAGTTGTGGACGGAGAGTGCAGTGAAGATGACACCACTGATGAAGATTACAGTAGCGTACAGAAGCCTGCATTTTGCGTTACAGGAGAACCCGACTTTGATTCTGGGCCTCCACAAGATGGACTAGAATATCTTAGGCGTGTAAGGTATCATTTTCTCACCTATCAAGATTTTGTGGGTGTGTGCACATGTAATTTATATTTTTCGTTCTCGTTAGCTTTGTGACTGGAAAACTCGTTCAGCATGTTGAATGATTGATTTAGTACCTTATTTTATATCTGAAACTCGGGTAATATCTGAAGCCTTTTTAGCTAAATGATATGCATGATTTTGTTACATTATTTATACTTGTATTTTTCTTATGTTCAGATATTGAGTGAGCATTGTTTTGTCCAATTTCAAATAATCGGGGGAGGAGAGAATGGGTGGTGGTGGTGGTTAAAATTCAATTTGACTCACCTATTAAAATCATGGTTCTGGTTCTGCTAGGTATATTATTTAGTACAACGATACGTCTAATATTTTATATTGTTTTTACCCCGTCTTTTCACAGAGTTTGATGTAGGACAATCCTATTTCAAATATGATTGATTTTCTCTTTCTCTTCTTTTTTCTTATTTAAAATATGATTTTTTTTTGTTGATTAGAATATGATTTTTTTTCATGTAGATTAGGATTTTTGTTTTCTTTCCTTTAGTATTTTAGTTTTGTTTCCTTATTTTAGTAAAGTTCAGGAAAATATATAACGAAGGTTTTGTATACTTTTCAATAATCAGTTTCAATCCACTCAATACAATGAAAATATTCTTTACAAATTTAAAGTTTTTCAATTTTATTCTTGTTTCAAGAATTTCAATTCCATTTCCGCATCAAAATTGGTATCAGAGTAAGGTTTGTCTTTAGCTTGTGGCTACCTATGATAGTAGTGGTACACATCCTTACGATGATGATCACGTAAATGTAAAATTATGAGCCTTGGTCCGGAATCTGGGACGAATGATGGGTATTTTTAAAACGCTTCTGATAAGGATTTGTAGACTGACTACTATGAATGTGGGTTGCTTCAACAAGTCTAGCACATGGCAACAGGCGGCTAAAGAATTTTTTGAGTCTCAACCATTTTTGAATACTCACAAGCTATCAAAGATTCTGCGAAAGTCTATTGGGGAGACATAATGGAGCAAAATTTGATGCACGACAAAATTCTTGAACAGGCACATCATCAACAACAAAGTATATAACTTGATAATAGACAATGGGAGTAGTGAGAACTCGGAATCCTTAACATTGGTGAATGCTTTAAATATGAAAATTGAAAAATACTTGTCATGCTATGAAGTTTTACAAATTAAAAGGGGGCGAAAAGTTCAAACCATGGAGGTATGTTCAATTCCACTTTCTATTGGAAAGTACTACAAAAATGATATTGTGTGTAACGTGATAGAAATGAACGATTGTCATGTACTTTGGAGACTTCTGTGGTACTATGATGTAGACTTATATAGGTCAAGATAACAAATATGTATTTTGGTGGTACGATAAGAAGATAGTGAAGTTCTGATGGTGACTTTTGGTTGAGACCCTTAAACCTGAAATTACTAACACCTCCACGTGCCCACCCCTACCCAAACTCCATTACCGCCATCACCACCACCCCCCTCCCCCAATGCAACCACTGGTAAAAAAATTCGAATTCTTAACCGAAATTTCAGCTTGAATCGCAGATTGCAACCACAGGTTTTTGGGCGGTAGTGGTGGTGGGCTGGTGATGTTGGCTATGCGACTGGAGCTCCAGATAACCCGTCCCATCGTGCACAGATATGTAACCACTGCACCGTCGCTTCCGCTTGCGTTGGTCATGTTGCCCATCTCCTTCCTTTCACCTCACAGATAATGTCATGGTTTATTGGTAGTTTCTGAATGAGCAGGGTAATAGATTTTAATCAGAAAATATTAACCACTGTCGATGCTTGGTATGTCCGAATTGATTTATAAGCTCCTCTTTAGTAGTTGGACAGCTTGTTGCAGACGTTTGACAAAAGCTTGGAAATTAATCCCAGATATCTATAAAACAAAAATTATAATACCTATGATGATGACATTTTCTCAAACTATATGTTCTCTCTGACATTCTTCTAATCTTGTACATTTTTCTTTTTGAGATATGGAAGTTTTAGATTTAATCCTGAAAGTGCCTTATTTGTCCTTTAGGTGGGAGGCTGAACAAATTCCAAAAGTGAAGGTTGCGAAGGTTGACAAAAACAAACTAAACAAAGAACAGACTGTTTATATGCCCCAAATTCCTGATATTATGAAGTGCCCTGATAACTTATTGCCGCTCAAACAGTGGGAGGACTCCTTTCTTGCTGATTTTTCAAGGCTAAGGCTGGTAACATCTTGCTTACCATGTTCTCTTCTTTACATGACTTTCTGTCTCAATATATGCAAACACACGTGCACAAAGATAATTGTGTATTATACAGCCAGAACACTGCTTCCATCTCCCGACATTTGGCTTCACACAGATATTCCATTATATTACTTGAGATTAGTTAATGGTTATTAACTTTCGTATTACTAAAAGTTATGCACATTCGGTGTTTTCAGCCTTCTTGCATTACGAGAGTTATATGCACTGATATTTATGCTGATCATCTTTCAAGTATTACAAGATTGTACCTCTGCTTTTTTCCTTGTGACGAAATTGAAATGATTGGAGTTTTCCTATTTGGAGTCTTTTAGTTCTGATTCTTGTTATTTTGTTTTCACTAGATTATTTGTAAACTGCGTGTGAAGATAATCTCTAGTTATCACATGATTAAAAAACTATTTCAAGTGTAAGACATTGTTTTATGTGTGGGTGTGCCCACGATCACGAATGCATGTTCTTGTTAAGGGTTTGTCCCAATACTTTTGTATTGCTGCATAACTGAATTGAATCTACATTTTTTAGGGTCAGCTTGAGCTTGAAGGTTCTAGTGCTAAAGTTTCTGCCAAATCGCAATCTTTTCATGATGAAGAAATGGTGAATCAGTTATCTGAAAGTATGATCTCTGAGAATTTTGATAACTTATCAGTTAAAGATAATTCCTCCATACCAGAAACGGATGATGCAAAAGTTGATTCACATTCTTCCAGTTCTAGCATCAACTTTCCTGCTATATCAATGATTTTAAGAATGGATTCTGTAGCTCGAGTTTCTATGTTGAAAAGGCGAATAAGTTCAGTTGAGAGTCTGAACACATTATCACGTGATGACTGTTTATGGCTGTTTGCTCTTTGTGTAGCAGTTGATTGTCCTCTTGATGCAGACACTTGTGCAGCCCTTCGGTCATTACTTCGGAAGTGTGCAAGCTTGCGTGCTGCAAAATCAGAAATGGATGATGATGTTATTATGCTAAATATTCTTACGACGATATCAGGCAGATACTTTGGACAGTTGGAAAATTGAGTTATACGTTTTAGAAAATCATCTAATGAAGCATCATCAGATTGCCCTACACAGGAGCTGCTTTACCATATTTTGAGTTAAGTTGGATATTTATTTTGATATCCCAATTATCAAACACATTTTAGTACCTCCCATATATTTTGCTGAACTATACCCTGTTGTTCTTTAAACTTTTAGCGACAGTAGCGTTTGAGATTCAGATGCCTTATGAAAACATGTTCGAAAATAAATTTTTAGTTGAAAGTAAATTTGATTTGATTTTATTCTTGGTCAAATATGCTATTCCTCTGTACTAGTTCAAAACAAAAAAGTAAGTTGGAATTCTGTTTAGTTGTACGATGCATTGGGAAAGATGATTGCTCCCGAAAAGGAATTTATTGATTGTCCCATTTGGTTGCATTGTAGGTGCAATGATTTCTTCACGTGCAAGGTCTCTTGTTCAATGTTAGGATGATCTAGTTGCGTAGGGAAAAGAATAGAAAAACGATCTGATAGTGTGGTCATCGGTCTTGCCACTAGAATGCCTATGATATAGTGATCAGCATTTCGAAGATTACTTCATGTTCCACTTCACTTGCATCTATTTTTTCGTCTTCCATTCCCTTGATTCATTTAAAGAACGTAGTAAGAAACATGGATCTCAATAAATTGAAAAAATAAAATTGTTATACTCCTTGGACATGTTTGGCACGAACAATGTCCCACCGCTATTTAACACATACACAACAAAGAAATAACAATACGACCGAAACCTAACTCCAATGTCACGTTAACTCATAACGTCTAGAAAATTATACCACCCAAGAAGATGAGTTGGAAATCACATGGATGTACAATTGCTAATTTTACTGCAAATGTGTATTTAAGAGTTTAGTACCTTATTTTATCATCTACTACAATATACATAACATGACTAGAATTGTAAGTTACAAGCTAATCGACAGTTTTATAGAACATTGAAACATCATTGTACACCTTAGCCTGCTTCAAGAGTTCAGCTACCTCGAGCATTGTTGGACGCTTCCATGGATCATCATGTGTACACAACCTCGCAATGGCAAGAACACAGAGAATTTGATCCTTCGACTGGTGATCTTCCTGTTATGAGCTCGAGCATCACCACCACAAAGCTGTAGCCACACCATAATCTGGTCGTACTCGGTGGTATGTAACCAAATGTACCAGCAAGAATTGTTGAAACATGGCTCTCACAAGCACCAATTATCCAAGCTAGGCCAAAATCCGATACTCAGTGGTTCAAAGTTCCCATCCAATAGTATAATGCTTGACTTGATGTCCCGGTGAATAATGTGGGGAACAAATCCATGATGCAGAAAAGCAAGTCCACGAGCTGAGCCCAGGCACATCATGAACCGGGTAGGCCAGTCGAGTGCCTCAACTGCATCTGCCTGGTTCCTAAGCCAAAAGTCGAGGCTCACATTCTCCTTGTATTCATGTATCAAAAATCCCTCATCCTCAAAGGCAGAGTAACTGAGTAATGGGACTAAATTTTCATGCTTACCTTCCCAATTGTTTCCGTTTCAGCCAAGAATTCACGCTTCCCATTCAAGTGACCTCCATTAAGCCTTTTGACAGCTATTATTCTTCCTTCTGGCAACAAGGCATTGTATACTGGCCGGAATCCACCATCACCAATAATATAACTCTTGCTGAAATTTTCAGTTGCTGATAAAATATCTGCAGCCTCTATCTTAAACAGAGGGTGCCCAAAAGTTGCAATATTAACGCTTGATCATTTGTCTTCTTTACCAAAAGCCTATCACTGGATGGCAACTCTGGTGTCATCACAATCTTACCTTTTGGCACCGTCATTAATTATCCCATCTCGTCTCAGCATTCTCTATCTAAGAAGACCAATAAGTAATGCCAGCGGTATAAACAGTAGCAGCCACACCAAACCCTGAAGCATGAGAGAGACAAGGGGAGATGGATATTCATGCCTTGAAGGGAACGCTGGTTGGTCTAGAAGGCATGGTTTGGCCATGATGCAAGATACTGTGAAATTGGCAAAGGTAAGGCCTTCTATATTCCAGATAGTACAGGGAAGAAAAATTTGGAAATGATTACCAGATAAATCAAGATACGTCAAGGCATCGAGAGTTGAAAATGACATGGGCAAGCGTCAGGAAAATTTATTTTTGAAGAGGTCTAATATGGAAAGAGATTTTAGATTTGAGATTGAATCATCAAGGTTACCAGAGAGCTAATTGTTGCTGGAATTCAAGACCGGAAGAGCACTGACGCTTGCAAAGTCAACACTGAGAGAACCCCACAAAGAATTCATGCTCACGTCCAAATCAGTCAGACTTTTAGTATTGAAAATAGACGGAGACAATGGACCGACTAACCAGTTATTTGAAAGGTCAAGCTTTGCTAAGCTCGGCATTTCCATCCCAATATTATCAGGACTATAGCCACTTATCTGATTATGTGAAAGTATAAGACCTTGAAGATGTCTCATTGAGAACAACTGAGGAACCACTGAACCTGACAAAGAACTGAACGACAGATCAAGCAACGTTAAGTTTACCAACATTGAACTCTCATCTGGAATGGAATACTCTCTTAGAGCTAGTTTCCCTGCAACAACAGTTCCTTCACAACAATGACATTGAAATCTCATCTGGAATGGAACACTCTCATTGAGCTTGTTTCCCTGCAACAACAGTTCCTTCACAACAATGCACTGCTTAATTGATGCAGGGATGGTCATGGGCCCCTCTAGTTCATTGTTGGATAGATCAAGCATTTCGTAATGCTGGATGTACTCGGAGTCTGGTAAAGGCACCTTCTGAAAACCTGAGTACATTTCCCGAGGTATGGGACCAGAGAATAAGTTGTCTGAGAGAACCAAGTTGTCGAGCAATTTCAATTGGGATATTGATTTTGGAATTGGACCTGTCAGAACATTTGCACCAAAGGGGTAATTGGCGCAAAACGTCCCTACCTTTGACGGATTTTGTGCGAAACGTCCTTACATTTCATTTTTTGGCGCAGAACGTCCATACCTTTCACATTTTTGGTGTAAAACGTCATTTTCTTCAATTTTTGACAATTTTACCCTTCTATTCAAATAAAACAAAAATAAAACAAGAGAAAAATACACAACAAATTGCAATCTTACTCTTAGACTTTCCTAAAAATACAAATGAGTCCAAAACTTATAAAAATATTAAATTTTACAATTAACACATTAAATTTAAATAAATAAATAGGAAAAAAAACCCAAAAACTCTCTCTCTCTTCCTCCCCAACAATCGTGGCTGCCGCCACCACTGTAAATCACCACCACCACCGCCGCCGCCAACGTGTCGGAGTCCTCCGCCACCACTGTAAATCACCACCACCACCGTAAACCAAAAATGGAACATTCAAACCCAAAATGAAAAAACCCAAAATCTCCACCACCGTGTAGCAAATGAAAAATCACATTCAAACCCATAAATTTATCTCTCCGTTTGCCTCAATCATTGCTGCTCTCTCCAAAATCGAACCTAAAATCACTGCTATTATCGAGATAATGTTCATGGTGGTCAATTTGTACACAGTTGATCAGATTTGAGACTGGCAGATCGAGTTAGAAGTGAAGGTGGAGTTTCAGTGTCGACGCGAAGTTAGAAGTGAAGGTACGGAGCTAAAATGAGATGAAGAAGATGCTTTCGTGGTGGGACTTGATCTGGTTTAGCATGGGTGGGTGCTGTCATTGGTGCTGGAACCTGGGAGCCCAATGGAGACGGGTTGGGTTGCGCAACTGGTGGATTTTCGTGGGTCGTTGTAGTTCAATTATGGGCATTATCAGTTGAATTGAAGCCATGGCTAGGATCTTCTGGATGAGAGTAACCCGCCGATGGTGGTGCCCGACCGTGGGTAGTGCCGAAGGTGGTGTTGCTGCCGGTTTTCAGGTGCACAAGTTGCTGTTTTTTGGATGGAAATTTTGGTCCGGCTGTGAGAATCATGTCAGCGGCGGAGGTGGATATGATGGTGGAAGGCGGCAGCGGCGGCGTTGTGGTTGCTGTAGGTGGGATGGTTGATGTATTTCTGGATTTTGGTTTGGGGTGGGTTTAGGTGAAGGAGGAGATGAATAGTTCATGGGGAGGAAGAAAGAGAGAGAGAGAGAGAGAGAGAGAGTTTTTGGTTTTTTTTTTCCTATTTATTTATTTAAATTTAATGTGTTAATTGTAAAATTTAATATTTTTATAAGTTTTGGATTCATTTGTATTTTTAGAAAAATCTAGGAGTAAGATTGCAATTTATTGTGTATTTTTCTTTTGTTTTGTTTTTGTTTTATTTGAATAGAAGGGTAAAATTGTCAAAAATTGAGGAAAATGACGTTTTGCACCAAAAATGTGAAAGGTAGGAACGTTCTGCACCAAAAAATAAAACGTAAGGACGTTTTGCACAAAACCCGTCAAAGGTAGGAACGTTTTGCGCCAATTGCCCGCACCAAAGTATAAAAATACCAGCTTTGTACACTCAAAAAGCTCCGCTGCTATCTCTCCAGTTAGCTTATTACCATGAAGAGAGAGATTAGTAAGATTTTATGAATTCATTTGTATTTTTAGAAAAGTCTAGGAGTAAGATTGCAATTTATTGTGTATTTTTCTTTTGTTCTGTTTTTGTTTTATTTGAATAGAAGGGTAAAATTGTCAAAAATTGAGGAAAATGACGTTTTGCACCAAAAATGTGAAAGGTAGGAACGTTCTGCACCAAAAAATAAAACGTAAGGGCGTTTGCACAAAACCCGTCAAAAGTAGGGACGTTTTGCGCCAATTGCCCGCACCAAAGTATAAAAATACCAGCTTTGTACACTCAAAAAGCTCCGCTGCTATCTCTCCAGTTAGCTTATTACCGTGAAGAGAGAGATTAGTAAGATTTTTAATGTGCCTGGGGCACGGAAGGTTTAGAGGTGACATGGTCCGTGGTAGATCCAACTAGGTAACTAGTAGACCATCACCACCGGTCCAATTGCATGGAAAAGTCACCAAATCGGTTTACGGGATGCCCTCAATTAAAATTTTTATGAATTTAGAAGGCCATAAATCCTAAATAATTTCGTGGATTTCAATAGATTTCCACAAATTTGATAAGAATTTAATCAAATATGGTGAAATTTCAAAATATTTGATTATATATATTTTTAAGTTTGAAATATGTCCAAATCTTTTAGAATCCATCTATTAATGAAATTTTTATAAATCTACTAGTTATTGGGGATACTTAAATTTCATTAAAATCTCAATTAAAGACATTTAAATTTTAATGGATTTCATTAAAATCTCAACTCAGGAAACCTAAATTTAGAAGGATTTTTAAAATTCATCATAATCTCAATTGAGGACATATTTCTTTTATGGGATAGCGAGTCTCTCAAAGCTTTTAATGATTCCATGTCACCAAGGGAAATGTCACTTGTAGACAGTCGATACACGGAGCAGAAAAGGATAGTGATGGTGAGAAAATGAGAAAAAATGTCATTTTACAACTGGTTTAGGACGACAATAGCCACAAGTTTTGTTCTTTATAGAAATGCACTTCCATTGACAAAGATGATCTACAAGTAACTGACATATCAAAGATAACCAAAATTCTATATTTAGTACACAACATCAACGTAATTATCTTGAGATTGTAGCAAGGTAACATAAACTATAACATATATCAAAAGTTTCTGCTAGTCATTTCTTGAAATAAAAACTAGAAACCTGATAAACAATTCACAGTAATTGAAGAACTGGCGATCCAAATAATTCAAGAAAAACTAGGATTAATTACCATAGCCAAGAATAGCAGCATATAAGTCATCAATATTAACCATCAGTGGCATGGGTTCACATTCTTAATTGGAAAATTAATTAGCACAAAAGAATGCACGGATGAATCTTGATTGGACAAAACAATCTTGACATAGAAACCTCTTCCATAATTGAACCACAAAATCATTTTTTCATAACGTAACACTCGTTTTCCACACAATACTATCAATAGTCCTTGTAAATGATCGAGTCATAGACCATAATTTCAATGATACTGCTAGGGAAATTCTTAAATATGTTTTCTATAGAGGTATTTAAAATACAGGTCAACAAACAGTAGACAAACCCTGAAAAGGTAACATTTAGAGCTTGTCAGTTTGGGAGAAATTTTAATCTAATTAGAATTGAAAATATAACCGTTATTGGGTCCCACCAGTCTAATAAAAGTCAACAATAACGACTAATTTTTCAATTTTAATCCGATTTTAATATCTACCAAACAAACTCTTATTATATACAGTAAACACATGAGTAATTAGCATATAACCTCCATACATTTCACTATTATTGTGGAAAACACCCTTACCTTTTATTTTTTTTAGCATTTTTACCATTATTTCCACATTTCATTGCGTAAAATATCATTTTCATCTATTTTCTCATTAAAAGTTGTAAAATGACGAATATACCATTCTATTTTTTTTAAAAAGAGAACTAATTGCAATCATAGTTCCAAACTTTTTAAAAAAGTACAAACGAGTTCCAAAAAAATTATTAAAAGGGTACTTAAGACACGTGTCCCTATTTTTATTATTATTGTGAAAAATGTATAACCTTTCATTTTTATATTTATTTTGGCATTTTCATCCTTAATTACGCTTCTGATTGCACAAATCATCATTTTTTAAAATTCATTTTCATCTAATTTCTCAATAAAAAATTGTGAAATGACGAATATACACTCATATTTAAATAAAAAAAATTAATCGCAACAATAGTTCCAAAATTTTTAAAAAGGTGCAAACGCATCCCAAATAAATTATTAAAAAAACTAGAAATTAATTTATTATTTTTTTAAAGAGTCCAAACTGTTGACCCCGAAAAATGACTCAAACACGTGGCTAACATAATACTTTCACTTAAGCTCCTTCCTGCACGTAGTAACACACTGTTAGTCGTTTGTGGCCTTTTCTGATGGGGGTGGAAGCGGTTGCGAGCACTCCGATGGTCAAGTTATGAGTTGGCAAGTCGGAGTTGGGACGTTCGGTCGTGGTGATCACCGGAACAAGATTTTGGTGGCGATGTGTGTATGTGATAATGTAAAAAGCTTGTGCTCCTTTTCTTTTTCCAGGAGCCTCCC